GGGAATCCAAAAAAAATAAATTTTCCCGAAAAAAAAAATTTAAAAAAAAAGAATTAAAAAATTTAAAATTTTAAAAAAAAAAAAAATTAAAATTTTTTTTTTTGGGGGGAGAAAAAAAAAAATTTTAATAAAAAATTCAACCCCCCCTTTTAATTTTTTAAAAAAAAAAATAATAAAATGGGGGAAAAAAAAATAAAAAAATAAAAATTTTCCCCCTCCCCACCCCCCCCCACTTGATTAAAAAAAAAAAAAAAAAACTTTGAATTATCAAGGGGGTGTTGGGGGGCGTTTTTTTAAAAAAAAATTAAGGAATGAAATTTTTTTTTTTTTATGTGCATCACTTTGGATTCTGATTCAATACACCCCCTTTCTAATTTTTCTATTTGGGAATTGAATTCTTCCCCTGTTTTTAATATTATATTATGTTTCTTGAATTTTTTGATGGAAAAAGAAGACGTATGATAATAAATGTATAATAAATAATTTAAAATCAATTGTATATTTCTAATATATTTGTTAAATAAGCTAAATTTTTTTCCCTAAATATAAATGCCTTAAATAATAAAAAAAAAAAAAAAAATATATTTAAACTCCAAACCCTAATTTCAAAAAATAAAAACAAAATTCAATTAAAAAATCAACACATAATTCAATAAATATAAATAGCTTTTGGCCTATTAAAATTAGAATTATATTATAAAAAAATAATAAAAAAAAATAATTCAATAAACTCTTACAAATTAACCACTTTAACAAATTAAAATTTAATAAAACCAAAAATTTTTTTATAAATTGTCTCAATAATTTAAAATATAATCAATATTGATTATATTTTAAACACCAAGACCCAGCTATCCAGCGACACCACACAATGAATATAGTGAACAAGCTAGAGAAGTTTAGCAGGATATGGAATTCAGATATATTTAGAGTGAAAATACCGATACATCTGGAAAGATACAGAAATTTATCGATGAAATACAAATAAAAATTAAATAACAAAAATAAATTAACAAAAATTAAATTACCAAAATCAAATAATTAAAATTAAATTAATAAAAAAAAAAAAAAATTTAAATAAAAGTCGTGTTAACTTTTGCCCCATTCTAATCGAAGGGTTAAGTCAAATTATATAGTTTTCACACCACCATCATTATTCAATTCTGATAATGGTATTAAAGTTTTAATAACCATTTTTTAAATTAGTTTCAATAAATTTTCTTTTGAATCCTTATTCCATTCTACTATTTTTATTACAATTAGATACAATATTTAGAAATTGAACTCTTATAATTTATATAAATCCATTATTACTACAACTATATTTATACAATAATATTAATGATAATCTAAAATATAGAATTATAAACTTATAAAAATAACTTATTTTAATTAAAAAACTTGTTATATAATTACTCTAAAAATGGAATATGGGTATATTTTTTTTTATTTTTATTTTACTATACAATTTTATTTTATATTATTGTTGGTTAATTGTTAAAAAGAATAGTGGAACAATTGCGGTTATAATTTCATCTCTATTGCTTAGTCTTGAAAAAGAAAGATAACCATTCATTGTACCTACCACAGTTGAATATTCTAAAGAATCATCCAATTCGCATTTACTGCAATATTCGAATTTAACTCCAGGAGTTATAATTGGAAATAGACCTATAACACCTGGACCGTCAGTAAATATTGATCCTTTTGAAGTTGTGATAGTCCAATGACGTCTTATTAGTTGACAAGATTTATTTGGGTCTTCATTTTTGTCCATTGAAATTGAAATTCTATAATAAAATGTATAATCACTAAGGTCTTCCGGAATATATAATGCTGTTGCCTTGATTCTAATTCCATTAGTAACGGTCTCGCCTGTATATTGAGAATGCTCTGGATATCTAAAAAGAAAATCCTTTCTAGTTGTTAATATCTTATTTTCTAACATTGTGGCATGTTTTTCTATAAAATCCCAATAACTATTTGCAACAACAATGGGTCTCATTCTTTTAGAAGTTGTAATTAATAAAATTTGACCCCTAGTAAATTTTAAATCTATAAATTTTTAATAATTATTAATAAGTTTTAAATTATTATTATTATTTATTATTATTATTTAATACCTACCTAAAAATTGAAAGTTTTTAATTACAACAACATAAAATCTTCTAGAAAGTGACCCAGCAAAAAACCAACAAGAACCAAAAAAGCTACGTGAACAAAATTGTTGATAAATACTAAATGATTCATTTAATGAATAATGTATAATATTGATAACTGAATCATACACTGTAATTGTACCCAATAATCCATACCTTGTTGTTATTTTTTGACCATTATGAATTAAGATTGAACACAAATAATCGGCTGGTAATACTGAATCAAGTTGTTGTTGGGTTGGTGTTGATAATTGTGTACTTTTATTAATATATTTGGTAATTTCTTTAATTAATATATTATATCTTTCAGTTGAAATTGTTAAAAATGATCTTTTCATTTGTGGTAAATACTTATTCATCCATGATTCTAGTCTATTCCATATATATCTCATTGTTTTATAGTGATGAATAATATTTTGATTAAATCTATTATATAATAATTTATAAACTGAAAATGGTGAATATTCTATAGTTTCTTTTTTGCAATAGAAAATAATAGTATTATTTTCTATTTTTTGTTTTTTAAATTTTTTACATTTCTTATTACTTTTATAATTTGATAATTGATTATCTTTAACCAAATCAAATTCATAATCAATTGTATAAAAATTATTATTATCAATTTTATTATTATTATTATTATTATTATTATTATTATTATTATTATTATTATTATTATTATTATTATTATTATTATTGTTTATATTAAAATTTCTTGTGTCACTATTACTATTGGTTTCATCTTCATCTTCATTTTCTTCTTCATCTTCCTCTTCCTCTTCTTCATTGTCATCATCTTCATTTTGTTGAGGCAAACTATTTAGTTTAAAAATTGAAAAAACACTCTTTCTATGTATTTTGGTTAATTGATCTCTTTGGAAATTTTCATCGTAATGAAATTTATTAAGTAAATCGTATCTTGCAATCGATGTTTCTTTGGTTAATAAAAAATCTTCATCTATTTTTGATTCCCATAGTAATGATGAACTTGATATAATTTCATTGAAATGACTATTAACTATTGATAACTTTATTAATGATTCAATATTTAAATTTTGTAAAATAATTAATAAATTTTCAATTGGCAATGATAATAAATAACATTCATTATCACTATCCATTTTAATTATTATTTAATTTATATTTTATTGTTTTGTTTTTTTATTTAATTAATTTTTATATTGTTTATTAATAATATTAAAAAAAAATTTAATTAAAAAAAATTTAAAAAAATAAAATTTAAAAAAATTAAAAATTTAATCAAAAAAAAATAATAAAAAAAATAATTAAAAAAAAAATAAAAAGAAAAATTATATTAGAATTAATTTTTTGCCTTTTAAAGTTATATTAATTCCATACTCAAATATTAAATATATATATAATTTTTTTTTTTTATATATATTTAATTTTTTTATTTCAAATCCCACATACACTAATTTTTTTTTTTTTTTTTTTAATTATTTATTTTTTTTTTATTTATTTTTTTAATTATTTAAATAATTAATTTTTTTTTATATTACATACTAATTTGATTATTTAATCATTACAATAAATAATTAATAATTTAATAAAAAAAAAAATAAAAAAAAAGAAAATATGGGTTGTTCAATTAGTTCAGTTTCTCCAGCATTTTTTGAAACTACAGAATGTCCAAGTGCAGTTATCAATAATGAAAAGGAAGGTGATGTCTATCTAATGGTTTATGCAGATACTAATTTACCGGGTGATACCAAGCTTCAACAAAATTATAGCATTGTAATTGATGTTGCAGGTGAATCAATAAATGACCATGATACATCAGGTGGAGCTTTTATTCCAAAAGGTGTCGAGATTTATTTGTCTCTTAGTGATGGTGTTGTAAATGTCCAAACTCAAAGAAATGATCATCTTAAACCAATGTTTCAATCATACAAGCTACTAGGTAAAATTGAAAATGTTTACCATCAAGGTAATCCAAAGGAATGGAGTGATGGTTTAAAACAAGCTGCAGAAAAATTTTTTAACGAATTTAAATCTCAAAATGGAAATCAATGGAACCATCAATGTAATAGTCATAAATTTTCAAAATATCTCATTGAAAAACTTTCAAATAATAACCCTCACCAATTACAATTTCCTAAAGAAATCTATATAGCAGGAGAAAATGATAAAGAATTTCCAATTTATTTTAAAATTTAATAAATTGATAATTATAATTAAATAGCAAATAGAAGTGATAAAAAATAATAATAGATTTCAAATTTTTAGATAAATAATAAAAAAAAAAAAATAAAAAAAAAAGAATTAAAAAAAAAAAAACCATATATTATACCTTTAAAAAATTTAAGAAAATTATTTCAAACCTTTTATGGTTATTAATTTTTTTTTATTTTTTTATTATTTTTTATATTTTTTTTTTTTTATTGAGCTTTTGTAAAAATTAAATTTTTTTTTTTTTTTTTTTTTTTAATTTTTTAATTAATTTTTTTTTTTTTAATAAAATGAATCATTCAATAATTAAAGATATTGATGAATTTATAAATTATCAAATAAATGATAAATCAATACCATGTATTTCAGTAACAATAGTAGATAAAAACAATAGTTTATTTAAAAAAGTTTATAATCATAAAGATATAAAAACACCAATACCAACATTGGATAAAAGTTTATTTAGAGTTGCATCAGTATCAAAATTATTTACATATGTAGGTCTTTTAAAACTTGTAGATAAGAATTTAATATCATTAGATGACCCAATCACAAAATATATTCCAAATTTCTCTTCTAAAAATCCACATTTTCAATATGATGATCAAGATGATGAAGATCATTATAAAAAAATAACAATATTTAATTTAATAAGACATACTTCAGGTAAATATAATTTTATTTTTTATTTTTTATTATTTTAATACCAATAGTTTGATTTTTTTTTATACAGGATTAATTAGAGAACCAATAGAAGGTAATTATTTTAATGAAACTCAGTGTGATTTAATTAAATTAGTCGAAACAATGGATAAATCAAATTTAATTACAAAACCAAGTAAAGAATACAAATATTCAAATGCTGCAGTTGCAATTGCTGGGTATATTATTCAAGTAGTTTGTGGTATTACCTTTGAAGACTATATCGAAAAAGAAATTTTAGTACCATTGGGTATGACAAGTAGTTCATTTAAAAATATTAATTCAGAAACTAAAGTCACCGATGAAAACAAACTACATACAGCTGTTGGTCATATGTGGAGATATTGGGATGAAACTACAAATGATTTATCAGTCTATACAGAAGCACCTTTAACCCACTTTGGTATGAATCCTGCTTGTGGTTTACGTACAACCATCAATGATATAGAAAAGTTTCTTCAATTCTTTTTGAATCAAGGTGAACCATTATTAAAGAAATCTACATTTATGCAATTTATAAGTGGTCAACCTTTAGACAAACCAATTATAGTAGAGGATCCATTTGATTATAATCCAACATATAGTCATGGTATTGGAATTGAATTAAATGAAATGTTTAATTATCTATTGGCTCGCCATGGCGGTGCTATAAATGGTTTTGCAAGTGATTTTAGAGTTTTACCAGAATTAGGTTTAGGTGTTTTCACAGTTTCCACTTTAGATCTTTGTAATTCCATATCACAACAAGTATCAGAGTATTTAATATTACAAGTCGCACCCAAATATTTACAATCATCGCACATTCCAATTAAAAAGTATGGTAAAGATTCAATTGAAGAAAAAATTAAAACAAGAAGAAATTTTTTAAAGAATACAATGTCAGCTGTCGATATTAATGATAGTCTCTATGATAATATAAAAGGCTATTGGTATCTTGAATCTAACGATGAAAAAGATGATTATAATGACTCTAACTATATGGAAATATTAAAATCATACAATGGAACCGTTTATTGTAAATTTTCCATTCAAGCTAAATTAAGAATGTTAAATTCAATTGATAGTGATGGCAAAGAAATTACACAAATTATTACAAGTGATAGAACGTCATGCAATCAAATATTACTTTCAATTCCAAAAGACTATAATTTCAAAGACTATGATTCAAATCCATTAAAGATATTCAATTTTTTAGTTAGAGATACTTTTCAAGCACAACATGACTTAAAATACTCAAAGTATGAACCATTACCAACTAGAGAAGAGATTTCAATACCACCACCAGAAGAACCATTCAAAGAATTATGTGGAATGTATTTAGCAAAAGATCATATGGCACTTATTTTTGAAGATAATGGTTGTTTAAATATAAATATAGAATGGATATTTATTAGTAAAATGTCATTTCATTCAGCACAGCAAAGTGGATCATTTTCAATATGCAAATTTTTATTATCACCAAAATCAATTTATAATAATGAAATGGTTACCATTATAATGAAAGATGGAACTCCAACTCATTTAGAATTATCGGGTATACCATTCAATTATAAAATGATCTCAACTAATCAACATCAACAGGGTGTCTATCCAATAGAGAAATGTAAACAAGTTTTAGAAGAATCATTAAGTATTCCATTCCCATTCGATAGTGAAGTCCATAAAAATCATAATCTTGTCGATCTTTCAACCATTTCAAATACAATAAAGTTTGATATCAAATATGCAAGTACTGATAATTTTGTTGGAATCAAATTATATCCAGAAGCAAAAGCATTTTTAAACCGTGAAGCTGCAGAGTCACTATTAAAAGCTCATAATTGGTTGGTAGATAATTGGAATGTTGGTATTATAGTATTCGATAGTTATAGACCATGGAATGTAACCTGGGCTTTTTCAAATTCAGTGGCACCAGAGTTTAGAGGACTATATGTTGCAAACCCAGCAAGAGGATCAGTCCATAATCGTGGTGGTGCATTAGATATCTCGTTATATGATTTATCAAATGGTAAAACTATCGAAATGCCTGGTAATTTTGACGAATTTAGTATTCGTTCACATAGAAGTTATATTGGGGGTACATCTCGTCAACGTTGGTTTAAAAAATTATTAACAATTGCTTTAATGAATAATAATTTTAAACCTTATGAATTTGAATGGTGGCATTTTGACTTTAAAAAACAATTGCCAGTTTTAAATTTAAAATTTAACGAAATCAAATAATTGTAATTTCAACTTTTTTTTTTTTTAAACCAAAAAATAATAATAATAATAAAACTATAATCATTTCAATAATTATTTAAAATAATCATTTACTTTGTTTTTCCAAAAAAAAAAAAAAAAAAAAAAAAAAAAAAAAATTTAAATTTTTTTAAAATTTAATTTTTTTTTTAAAAAAATGATCATTATCTGCATTTTTTTTTTTTTTTTTTCTGCAAACTATTAAATAATAATAAAAGTAATTTTATGATTATAAAATAAATAACTTTTTTTTTAATAAAAATAAAATAAAATACACAAAGTGTATAAATATATAATAAAATAAAGAACAATAATAAACAAAGAAAAATTCAATTTTAATAAAAAATAACAAATATAATGAATAATTTAATTAAAGTTTTTTCCTCATTTAAAAAAACAAATAACTTTTCAAATAATTTAATTAAAAATTCAACTTTATTTAATAATAATAATAATAATAATATTAATAAATTAATTTTAAAACAAAATAATTTTTTAATAAATAATAAAAGAAATTTTTCAACATCAAATGAAAAAGATTTAACATCACCATTCACATCATTAAGTGAAATTCATCCAAAATTAGTTGGTGAAAAACTTTATGATACAACCAATTATGATGATAAAAATAACGAAAAATCAAAAAATTTTAAAGCTCAAATTACAACATTACCAAATGGAATTAGAGTGGTATCAAAACAAACTCATGAAGGTGTTTGTGCAATTGGTTTATATGTTAATGCTGGTACAAAATATGAATCACCACAAGATAGGGGTGTATTTAACCTTTTAGAGAAAATGACCTTCAAAAAGACTAAAAATCATACAACTTCAGATATCATAAGAGAATTAGAAGAAATATCATTAAATGCAATGGCCTCATCAAGTAAAGAAATGATTAATGTTTCTATCGAAGTATTAAGAAAAGATTTAGAATTTGTACTTAGTATATTTTCTGATCAAATAAAGTGTCCAGAATTTGAAGAAGAGGAAATTAAAGAACAAATTGAAGTTTGTATTAGAAACTGGGAGATGATGACACAATCTGCTTCGGATCAATTATTATCAGAAATTTTAACAAATGTTGCCTATGGTGATGGTGGACTTGGTAATTTAGTTTTAGCAAATCCAGAAGAGTATATGAGAATTAATAAAGAGAAATTAAAAGAAACTTTAAAGAAATATTATGTTGGTAAAAATATTGTTATTAGTGTAACTGGTGCAGAACATTCTGATGTAACTCAACTAGTAGATAAATATTTTGGTGATATACCATATACTCAACCAAATACTCCTAGCTCTGATGCAATTGATAATCAAACATTTTATAGAGGCGGTACAAATGCATTGGTAGCAGGTAATTTAGTAAATAATAATACTGAACAAGAAGGTGAAGAACAAACAGAAAATAATCAACAATTACAACAACAAAAAGAAAACGAAGAATCATCATGGTTAATTGCTTTTCCATATTCTGGATTATCAACTGTTGCAGATTCTAAAGAAATTATAACTGGTTTAGTTTTACAATCATTATTAGGTGGTGGTTCATCTTATTCAACTGGTGGTCCAGGTAAAGGTATGCAAAGTCGTTTAAATTTAAATGTGGTCTATAAAAGTCATGCTGTAAAGAACTGTCATGGATTTTTCTTTATTTTCAATAAATTTAGCTTATTTGGTATTAGTTTAACAACCAATGCTGGTTATCTTTCAAATGGAATTAGTTTAGTTTTAAATGAATTTTTAATGTTAAATAAAACCATCACTCAAACAGATTTAGATCGTGCCAAACGTACTCAAAAGTCTCAAATCCTTCAAAATTTAGAACTTAGAAGTATTCAGTGTGATGATATGGCTCGTCATGTTTTAGCTCTCAACACTTATAAATCACCTGAAGAAATATGTGCTCTTATCGATTCAGTTACAATTAATGATGTTAAAGAATTAACCTCAAAACTAATTCAATCTAATCCTTCTGTAGTTTCATTAGTAGCTAATGAAAATGAAGAAATTTTAACAGCAGAACAATTTTCAATTATTGTTAAAAATAATTTAAATTTATTTCAATAAAGAAAATAAATAATATATTAAAATTTATTTTTAGAAAAAAAATATATTTTTTTTATAAAAAAAAACAATAATAATGATTCTTTAGAAAATAATATATTGAAATTTCTTTTATCTTTATTAATTTATTTTATTTTTTTTTAACCGTTAAATATGATTTCACCCGCTCCATTTTTTTTAATTGATTAAAAAATTTAAATTTTTTTATGTTGGGTTTTTTTTTTAAAATTTTTTTTTAAAATTTTTTTTATAAATAAATTAAATCATATATAGTTTTAAATAAATATATTATAAATTTTTTGTATAAATATTTAGTAATAAATTAATAATATTTAAAATAATAAAATTAATAAATAATTTTAAAAAAAAAAAAAAAAAAAAAAAAAAAAATGCAATTTTTAAAAAAACAAAAGGAATATTTAACAAGTTGTTTTTCATTAAATACAGCAACAATTGCTAAAGAAGAATATGAACTAATAGATCCAAGATCTCCTTCAAGAACTATTAAAAGATCTCCATTTAAAAAATCACAACCACAACAAAATATAGACCCAAGATCACCAACTAATTCATTTAAAAGATCACCAATTAGAAAAAATAATAATAACATTTATGATCCAAGATCACCATCACTTAAAATTAAAAGATCACCAATAAATTTAAATAAAAATAATAATAATGTTTTAGATCCAAGATCACCATCACTTAAAATTAAAAGATCACCTCTTGCATTTAAAAAAATCAAAACCCAAAGACAACATCAAAATCTTTTTGATCCAAGATCACCATCTCTTAAATTTAAAAGAACACCATTTAAACAACATCAAAATCTTGATCCAAGGTCACCATCTCTTCAAAGAACCCCACTTGCTGTAAATAACGAAATTAAATCAAAAGAACCTGAAATTTGTTCAACTCCTTTTTCAAAGTCAATAAATAATGAAAATAATGATATCTCCACACCAATTTCCACAGTACCAATTGAACTATCTACTACTCCATCTCAAGAAGACTCTTTAAATTCATTTAAATCACTATTAGAAAATGAAATTAAACAAAATGATTCAATTAAATTTGACCAAGAAAAAGAGATTAATATTGTTTCAACAACTACTAATGAAACTATTATTGATGAAGTAAATGAAATTGTTAAAGAAATTTCTGAAATAATTAAAGAAGTTGTTTTAGAAAAAGAAGAAGAAAAAGCTGAACTTAAAAATATTGACGAAACATCTAATATTATTGAAACATTAGACTCATTAATCATTCAGGACCTTAAAGAAGATATTCAAATTGAACTTTCACCAACTAAAACAACAACAACAAGTCATCTCTCTAAATCAAATGAAATTTCAGCACCATCAAATTTAATTAATCCACGTTTATCCAAACTCCAAAAATCTAAAGAAGTATTTAGATCATCTCCATCACTTTTATCTCCAAATAAAAAACTTTCACCAAGCAAGAGATTGGCACTTTTTTCTGCCAATATTAATGGTTCACCAAAACTTTCAAGAAATAATAATAATTTTTCTTCACCATCATCCAATAGTGGAACACCAACTAAACGTTTTTCATCATTAATGAACCAAGAAAACAGTACTAGTTGTACAAATCTTCTTCATAGCATCATTAGTGACCAAATCGAAAATAATCCAGACTCATTGAATAAAATTCTTACTACCAATAGTGGTACCCCAACCAAACGTTTATCATTCGCAAATAGTAATCACGGAGCACCATTATCACCAAAATTAACACCCAAAAGAATGTTTTCACAACCAAAACATATTCTTTTAAATCAAAAACACTCCTCAACATCAAATCTTTCAACACATTCAATTAAATAATTAATTATAACATTTTAACACATCATTTTTTTTTAATACTTTTGTAAATTTAATATTCATATTATCAAATAATATTTATTTTTATTTTGTAAAAAAAAATAAAAATATAAAATAGTTTTAAGATTTAATTTTTTTAAAATAAAAAAATAAAAAAAGTACTGTCTGTAATAAATTTTTTTTTTTTTATTTTCTTTTTTTTTTTTTTATTTGTTTAATATATTTATATATTTAATTTAAATATTAATTATTTAAATAAAATAATTTATCTTTTTTTCTTTATTTTTTTTTTTTTTTTTTTTTTTTTTTATATTTTTTTAATTTTATTTTTTTTAATTTTTTTTTATTTTGCGGGTATAAGTTTTATACTTTTCTTAAAGGG